AGAGGGGAAAAGAGGAAGAAATGAGAGTGGACTAGATGTTACAAGCGGCCATTACGAAAGCCAAAGACCTGGCAGAGAGGAGGTGCAGATGGGACGGGGTCACGGACGAAATGAAAGTGATCGTCTTGTACTTGGAGGGAGAGACATTGACAGACACGGCGGAAAGGGAACACCGACACTTGGACCGCGATACAGAGGCCGAGAGCGATGTGAGTGATCAGGGCACGGGAACCCAGTCTTGGCATGACCTAGATCAGTGGCGGGGGGAGTTGCCGGACCACCCGCCTGCTGAGCCAGTTGAGAGCAGCCCGGAGGCCAACTCGAGACGGCGGAAGGACTAGGCCCGCTGTTGAGCGCATCGGTCCGGCACCGCACGTGGCAGCGAGGGACCCTCTCGGCCACGTCACGCATGAGTTGGACCAACCTCGACATGAACACGCAAATGGAGCTTCCTTAGGCCGCTCCGGCCGAGTGCGCCAGCCATACCTCTCGCGAGCCCCTACGACAGGATAGGGCCTACGCGAGGCACAACTTACCTCCACCTTACGGGAGCTGTCACCTCCCTTCGGTGGGCGTATCCCCGCCGAGCTACCAGTCCACAGTACGAAAGCTGAATAGTTGCAATCGCAGAGGTGGACCAGCCGAGGGCGTTTCTCGTTCGCTGTAGCATAGGGGGTACGAGCGGTAATAGGCCTATCGGACCCGCACGCGAACCGACATCTTGGGGATCTGAAGTCCCAAGCGCGGCCATTCGTCGGTCGGCTAGGACGCATCCCACACACCACGCGCACACCACTTTACGAACACAAAAATAAAACGCACACGCACGCACATACAACATGACACATCACAAACAACGAGACAACGCTCCTAGTCTCTCGGTAGCCAACCCATAACTTTTCGATGCGAAAGTCAAATGGGCGTCGCGCGCGAGGCTTACTAGTATAAAACAGCTAGGACGCAGGGCCTACTTATATGGACTAGCAATGCAAACGCACGCAAGCGGTCGCAATGATGGCGTACTATGCAGTACCCATACTCACGCGGTCCTCGTTAATCTCGAGAGTCGCGTTCGACACTYAAGTGTCGGCTGACACGCGCCTTGAGGATTAATCTCTCGACGTCGGACAACCGCCATGCGCGGTTGAAGACCACACACCCTTTTCTGCACTCTGTGCAGTGTGGGTGGTACACAGGTCCATACCTGTGGTGGCARTCGTTTTTTACTACCCTGGAGATGAGCCATACTCCAGGCCTGGGCGGAGGTCAAGGGGTTTGACTTTGACGGCTGCCAYGGACTACAACGTCCAACCATACAAACTCCAAAAAACAAAGGATAACAGAGGGTCTTCCTTTTCTCTCAAGCCATAATCCGGTTAACCCTTACGCATAAATACAGCATGTCTCTCAAATACTCAGAGTACTCGTAAATATATAAGGGTTAATTATATAGGACGATCACTTCTCACAGTCACAGTGGGACTCCTCTCAACCACATATGTATGTAATCGCAGGCAATCACATCCAGAGTCCGAACCACAAACGCACCTGCAATCACATCAAAGATTCATCCAGAAGTCCGCGCACTACACGGGGTCAACTTCAACCATTCCTTGCACTCATACCCGTCGCTTTAGCCATACAAGCCTCACTCGTGCAACTCTTAAATAAATACTCAGTACTTTTGTTGGGTGGCCATTCAATAAAGTCCGGGTGAAAACACAACAAAACAGTTCAATCACAAAGCTAAAGCCTTTAGGTTGAGAGACAGGAGTGAATTGTAGTTGAATCGTAAACCGACGAATCGGCAACCGACCTGTTATCAGCGATAACACAAGATGATCCTCGTAGGATCAAGCTGAAACTAGTCCAGGTCCTGAATCAAACGATCAAGAGGACCTGTAGCACAAGACAGGTCAATCGCCAAGCTAAACCTATAAGCCCGTGGAGAATAATCCCCATATCACGATCTCACCCAGATCATCCTAATTAACTAAGTCTGAATCTACTGTAAGCAGTGCCCAAAGCAAAGGTAGACTCTGGCATAATCTCCCCTACACAGGGTGGATCGCCAGAATCGCAACCTGTCAAAATATAATCTATCTCCTTTAAATCAAGAAAATTTTGGCAACGCATCCCGTAGGAAAAGTGCCTTTTCAGAATCTATATCAGCCCGGATATGAAACCAGAAATAGTCTTTGACTTTCCAAAGTCCAATTTTGTCTAACTCCTTGAATTAGCAAAAATTTGGGCAGCACTCCCTTTAAAAAAGGAGACTTTCCTGATTTTTACTAAGTCATCTATAAACTTTAGACAAGTTGAACTTTGACAAGTAAAAATTTGACTAACTCCTTGGATTTGGAGAAATTTCAGCAGCGCTTCCCGTAGAGAAAGTAGCTTACCAAGATTTATACAAAGCCAAGTATAATAAAAGATCCCAGAAAATGCGAGAATGGATCTAAGAAAAAAACTTAGCTCAGAAAATGTAGGAATTGAAGCTAACTCCTATCGCTCTAGCACGTGGTGAGCCTCTAAAGCAACTACCTGTGAAACTGAAACTCAGACCAAGTAGTAGCCTCACTCAGTCACATGCACGCCAAACCACAAAGGTAGTACTCTCGCCATCCCAAGGTCAATTTAACAAATAATAGTTCATAATCTTTCAATGATTTATCTCTTTATACCCTGCTTACATAAGGCGTAAAGTCAGGTCATCCAATCTTATGGAACATGCCTGACTCATCCATCAAGTATACACGAACAGGTTGCACAACTACTTTTCTCTTCCTTTGGGCACAAGACTAAGCCATTCATCTTAAAAACAATGCTTAGTTGCCCTTAACTATTTAATATCCAAGTTATATATACCTCTCTTAACTTTGTGTTCAAAAACTGAGCATAGGACTGAGTCATTCATCTTAGAAACAAAGCTCAGCCTGCCCAAAGTTACCTTCAATTATATTCTTAGTTATACTCTCTTCAAATTTATGATAAGCTATAGTCAGACCATCCAATCTTATGGAACCCTTGTCCGACTAGCCTGTTCTTAAGTAAGATAGTAATAAAATATAGCCAAATTATAACCTTTTGGGTTCCAGCATGTGCGAGGCACTGGGCCAGACCATCCAATCTTATGGAATATGTSTGGTCCTTTGCCAAGTTCATTCCTCTCTGATGCATCTGTGTGCGGCATGAGTCCAAAGCCATCCAATCTTATGGAACATGCTTTGTCCTCAGCAGAAATTACTCCCTTAGAATAAACAAACAAAATAGTTGAGCCATTCATCTTAGAAACAATGCTCAACCCCTTTTTCTCAGTAAAAAAAAAGACAGAGTACTCTGAGTTAAACTCGGAGACTCTTCAAAAACCACCCAGAAATAAACGACGACCAGACCATTCATCTTACAAAACAATATCTGATCCTTAAAACTCAGGCAATCAATACCCCTCAAAGTAAGTAGCCAGGCCATTCATCTTAGAAACAATGACTGACACAACTAAATAAACACAGCGACCAAGCCATTCGTCTTAGAAACAATGATTGGCCCTTCAGAAAACAGAACAAAACACAGCAGTCAGGCCATTCATCTTAGAAACAATGCCTGACCCTATAAGACCCATTCAGACACAAGCGAACTCCCTTCATCCCAACCTTCCCCAGGTGGAATTCCCCTTTTGTTAACAATCTGCCTTCAGGCAATCAACAAAACTGAAACTGAGATTGCTCAAACATTCTTTTATTTAATCTTGTTCATTTCCTGAAAGTCAAACTGAAAGTCAAAGTAGGGGGACAAGCAACATACTCAGTCAGATATAGTGACGAATACAAGTAGGGTTTATACGGGGTTTATAGAGTGAAGCAATGGTTACCTTTCAATTCCCTGCCTCCAGAACTCCTCCTGAGTTCCGACAGAGCTCCCTCAATCGGTGGGATGACTCCCCACAGAGGCTTGTTGCGGTCCTACAGGTTGCAATCCCGCCTGCTGCCTTCCTCTCAGATCCAACAGACTAGACTTAGAGTAAGAAGGGCAGAAGGAGAAACTTTGAGGGTTGAGTACGTGCTGTATCTGATTTGTGCGCACTCTACCTGAGCTCTGTTGATTGGTCATGAATCGTGCGCTCACACGCTGTATCTGAGGGTTGACCTTGAGCTGAGCACTGAAGAGCACTGCACCTGATGACTGGCTATGAACTGTGCACTCACGTGCTGTATCTGAGGGTTGACCTTGAGTTGAGCACTGAAGAGCACTGCACCTGATGACTGGCTATGAACTGTGCAGAGGGTTGAGTTTGAGACGAGCGTCGACGGGCAATCAAATTGAGTCCGCTGATTAGCTGTGCCGAGAGTCATTGGAACTGAGTTTTCATAATCCTTTGTCAGGGTGTGTCGAGAAGCACTCAAATTGAGTACGCTGATCCATTTATTGTGCCAAGAGGGCACTCGATTTTAGCCTATTGATCGGTTGTGCCAGGAGACACTCAATTGAAGTATGCCAATTTGTTGTGCCTAAAGAGAACTTAATCTGAGCATGTCCCTGCGACTGTGCGCATCTACCTGCGACACTGGGCAAAGTGTGATTTCACATAATCGATCTGCAGAGCTTTGCCAAAGTGATTTTGAGGGACTGCGACTGTGTGCACTCGGATTGCGACACTGCGCGTCCAACCCGCCAGTTACGACATGTGCGACATTGTGCTCTCTGATAAATGCAGGTGTTGTACCGATTTTGAGACTGCCTGCGCAGCCACTTTGAGCAATTAAGTCGATGTTAAGACTGCCTGCGTAGCCACACTGAGAAACAAGCCAATCTTGAGACCGTGCCTGCGCAGTCATCAAGCCGATTTTGAGAATTTGCCTGTATCAGGCCTGAGGGTCATTTGCAACTGTGCGCCGAGTACGCACTGTACCTCAGGGCCGTATCTGAACTGTGCGCAGTTCGCACCATGCCGTGTGATGTTCGCACCGTGCTTGAGGGCCATGTCTGAGGGCCGTATCTGAACTGTGCGCTGTTCGCACCATGCTTGAGGGCCATGACTGAAGGCCATATCTGGAATGTGTGCTGTTCGCACCATGCTGTGCGCTGTTCGCACCATGTTGGAGGGTCAAGTCTGAAGGCCATGTCTGAACTGTGTTGTGTGTGCACCACGACTGAGGGCCATTTTCGAGCCATTTGCAATTGTGCGTCAAGGGCCAAATCTGAGCCATTGCAATTCGTATATGTGCGTCGTGCGCACACCACACCCAAGAGCCATATCTGAGCTTTCTGCAGTGTGTGACCAGGCGCTCGCTGCAATTGACTTTACCGAGTTCGGGACTGTGCGCCCAGGCGCGCACTGCAGTTGGCTTTACCTAGTTCGGGACTTTGCGCCCAGGCGCGCGCTGCAGTTGGCTTTACCGAGTTCAGGACTGTGTGCCCAAGCGCACACTGCAGTTGGCGTTTCCGAGTTCGGGACTGTGCACCCAGACACGCGCTACAATTGACTTTTCCAAGTTCGGGACTGTGCGCCCAAGCGCGCACTATAGTTGGCTTTTCCGAGTTCGGGACTGTGCACCCAGGCACACAAAGCAGTTGACTTTTTCGAGTTCGGGACTGTGCACCCAGGCGCGCACGGTAGTTGACTCTCCCGAGTTTGGGACTGTGCGCCCAGGGATGCACTGCAGTTGACATAATTTTGAGTTCAGGAACGTGCGCCTAGGGATGCACCACGGTTGACTGTGCGCCCAGGCATGCTTGCCGATTTCATATTCAGACGAACAATGTGGATGGTATTCTGGGAACCATGCTCTCATGTGATTAAGAGTTAGTACTCATCTAAGTTCCGTGCCTGGTTAATGACTCGGCAAATAACCGATTCTACGGCCCAACATACATTGACTGCACGACCAAGCTCAGAGCTTCAGTTAACTAATCTCCACTAGATAGCAATCTGAGTACAGTCTAAGTGCGCGCCCAGACCAGATATTTAAAGTGTGCGCGCGCGCGCGCCCAGACCGGACATTATTTTGAAGTGTGCGCCCGCGCGTGCCCAGACCGGACGCGCACCAGATATTTTAAGTGTGCGCCCGCGCGTGCCCAGACCGGACATTAGTTTTAAGTGTGCGCCCGCGCGAGCCGAGACCAGACATTATTTTTAACTGCGCGCCCACGCGCGCCCAGACCAGATATTATTTTAAGTGCGCGCTCGCGCGCGCCCAGATCAGATATTATATCTTAGTGCGTGCTCGTGCGCGCCCAGATGTGATATTTCTATTAGAGTGCGCGCCCATGCGCGCCCAAGCTTTTCATTGAGGTTAGAGTGCGCGCCCATGCGCGCCGAAGCTTGGTATTGCAATTAGAGTGCGCGCCCATGCGCGCCAAAGCTTGGTATTGCAGTTAGAGTGCACGCCCATGCGCGCCCAAGCTTGGTATTGCAGTTAGAGTGCGCGCCCATGTGCGCCCAAGCTTGGTATTGAAGTTAGAGTGCACGCCCATGCGAGCCCAAGCTT